CAGTATCAATCAAATGGAAACAAAAGTAAGAATTGACCAATCGGAACTTGGCGCGGGCTATTGAAAGTGTCACCCGAGAAATCAGGACCTCTATGAACAGCCAGTAACCCATGCTCTCAACATGTATTCTTGGGACAATTTTGCAGAGGTTGCTTGAACAAGGCCGTTTTCTGGCTTTATAGGTCTTGAGAAGGTATAGAAAGGAAGCTTTCAGTCAAAAGTAGAAAAAAGCTGAAATGGACAGGGGGAAGCGACAAACTGCTTTGGCAGAGGGTTGAGAAAGCAATGTGCTTTTAGGATAACAGTACTGTGTACAGCCATTTTTAGAGATCTCTGGGTGGCTCTGAAAAGAGCCTTTGGGGTTTGCTTTTTTCAAGCGCCAACTTCCTACTTCTTCTTGGGAGCCGCCTTCTTCGCCTTTGCAGCTTTGGGTTTTGCTGCCTTAGGCTTAGCCGCTTTGGGTTTGGCCGCCTTTGGCTTCACTGTCTTGGGCTTAGCAGGGCTCTTGGCAGCTTTCTTAGGCTTTGCGGCGGCTTTGGTCTTCTTGGGACTCTTGGCCACCTTTTTGACACCAGCAGCCGCGGGCTTCTTAGCTTTCTTAGGAGTCTTCTTCACGGCTTTCTTGGCTCCAGCAGCCTTCTTAGGCTTCTTAGGGGTGGCCCCTGCAGGTTTCTTGGCTTTAGCAGCTCCCGCCTTCTTGGCTTTGGGCTTGGCTTCCCCGGTCGCCGCCTTCTTGTTGAGCTTAAAGGAGCCGGAGGCGCCGGTGCCCTTGGTCTGCACTAAGGTGCCCTTGCTCACCAGGCTCTTGAGACCCAGCTTGATACGGCTGTTGTTCTTCTCAACGTCGTAGCCGCCAGCTGCCAGCGCCTTCTTGAGCGCAGCCAAAGAAAGGCCATTGCGCTCTTTGGAAGCAGCCACAGCTTTAGTGATCAGCTCCGAAACAGGGGGCCCGGAAGCCTTGCGCTTCGCGGCGCCACCGCTCGCGGTCTTCTTGGCTGCTTTCTTCTTAGCAGGAGATTTCTCCACCGGAGCCGGGGCTGCGGTCTCAGCAGGAGCGGTTTCCGACATGGCGATGAAGAAATTGCTGGAAGAGAGATTCAAAACTCAAAGAGCAAGTTTTGCAGTGCCGCCTTGCGCGGGCCCAGGGCTTATATAAGCCGATGCTGCCCTGTGATTGGTGGAGCGTCCGATCCACCGCCCTCAGGCAGTCGCCTCTCGTGGTTGGACTCCCAAATTGTGTTTGTTAGTCCGAAAAATTTGATTAAATGCTGTAAACAATGGTACAGAATTTGACTCTTTGAAGCTCCAAAACAGGAAAACAGCCACCAGGTTCTCATACTTGTTTGTGTTTTCCAGAATCACCAGCAATTGATGAAAGATATTTTTAAAAATCCCTTCAGCTTTTCATACGAATCCACCCAGTTTAAAGCATCGAGCTAGTTAGTTGTGTGTTACAATAAATTTCTACTAAGTATCAAGTGAATGTTTTTAAAGAGGCTTTGTCCCTAAGTTCAGCCTTAGATTTTTGCAAGAGGAAAGATACTAGATTCCTTGGTTTTGCCATAAACTTTGTTTCGAACTGCAGCAAGTAACACAGACACAGGGCTGCCGGTTGCCTCTAGCCCTAAATTAGCTATATACACCTTACTTTAAAAACCGGCTCGGCTTCCCAAGGAATTTCCACATGCCAGTGTCTTTAGAGAATATTTTGCAGCTTGGAAAAGTTCTGTTGTCAAAGTGACTTTTTCCAAGAGAAACAGAAATTGCTTTGCCTTCAGGATCCAATGACCTGCATTGAAATTCAAACAAGTATGTTTGGTATGTTTTTGATTACGATGCTTTCTCTCTACTTCCTAGGTGAATTCATTAAAGTAAGGGCAAAAAAAATTCCTTAGCCTAGATAATGTATTTTAGAAAAAAACAAACTTACTGAAATTTATTTGAGGTCTTCCAGTAGCCCTTAAATCACAAACTGTTTAGATAGCATGGGACTTTGCCCACCTCTCAAGGTGCTTTTCCCAATTTTCTCACTCAGACTCCTTAGCTCCATCACCATTTAACAAATTGCATGATCAGGAACATCCTCTTTTGTAGGACAACAGTGTGGGTATTATTGTATGTGTTAAGTGAAGACAGAACTGTATCTTTAAGTGAAATAATTAGCCACTGAGTACAAGAAGTGTGGATTGGGTATTGGGAATGCAGGTGATAAATTTTAGAATTCAGGAAAACATTAATATCCAAGGGAACTGAGGCAAAGACCAGGAGGTGGAATGGTGGGTGAATTTTGCTATTTGAAGGGGGTAGTGCGGAGGAGGAAGCATGCACAGGATTTTATGCCTGAATAGGGTGTTGATTAGGATCTCTAATGCAATCAACAGTCAGTTCTTCCATGGAAAACTGTAAGCCAACAAATTTCATCTCCTCGGGAACTCCTGGGGTTGAAATTATACCTTACTACGGCCAAATCTGGACAGTGGCCTGTTTTTTTATGGCCCTCCAGCTACGAGTTTTTCTATTTTTAAATTGTATTAGAAGAAAAATGTGAAAGAGGCTATTATGTGGCCTGCAAAACCT